TGTGTGTGTGTGTGTGTATTTGTGTGTGTATCTGTGAGTGTGAGTGTATTTGTGTGCGTATCTGTGAGTGTATGTGTGAGTGTGTGTGTGTGGGCAGCTGAAAATGAAGTCTACCATTAAACTCTTCCTCTGCTGCTGTTTCTAAAGTGACACACAGAACTAATTACCACAGTGTTCCAGTAGAAGTTGCACGCCACAATCACACACACACAAGAAGTTTCTTTAGATTCCAGCAGCGAATATGTGATAACGTCTCCTTCGGGTGGCTGTGGTACTGATAGCAGGAGTTAAAACATGCGGGTGGGTTTCAGGAAACAGGCATGAAGTGGAATTGAAGCATTCAGATTGTTCTGATTTGATGTCTGAGAATGAATTTACTTTATTGCCTTGTCTTTACAATATAAGCGAAGTGCGTCATTTTTAATGTCTCCAGTCGGGTCTTTAGGCCCCAGAGTCAATCAAAGCTAGTAACGCAAACATGGGGCAAGATATGGAATACAAAAGAATAAGAATCTGAACCAATACAGTACAAACAAAGCCAAACCCTAAACTGCGTAGATCCTCGGTAGGGCTGCAATTAACGCTCAACAAAATCAGTTAATCACTTTCGTAGTTTGGTCTATAAATAGTAGATATAAAATGGTGACAAATGTCAAACAGTGAATCCCAAAGCCCCCAAATATCTTGTTGTGTCCACAACTCAAAGATATTCAGTGTACTGTCACAGAGGAGGAAAAGAGCAGATAATATTTACATTTAACAAGCTGGAATCAGATCATTTTTAAACTCAAAACGATTAATCATTTATCAAAATAGAGTTGGCGATTAATGGAATAGTTGAAAACTAATCGATTAAACTTTGCAGGTCTAACCGTCGGACTCATTATTAAACCTGAATGCTACAGCAGGTACCCGTTAATAATAGTCAATAATAATAATAATAAACATTTTAATTCTACTGTAACCTTTTAACATTGTTAACGCGTGTTTCTTCTGACTAGTTTTTAAACTTTCCTTCACTTAATGATGTCATCCTATAAGTCTGGATAGCATCAGTGATGCTAATGAAGTAAGTTCATTTATCAAACGGTCCGGTACTTCTCCGCCCTGCAGCTCACGATGTTCTTCACGTTCTCCATCATGCTCAATTTCTCAAACCCAACTCTCCCTGTCCTCCATATTTCGCCCCATCACATGCAGTCCCACGTCCTCTGTTCATGTGCTAATGCCATTAGCTGCTGTTCATCTTAACGCTCTGATTCATTACATTACTGCAGCGAGTGAAGCCGGAGGGAATTCTGGCAGAAAGACTCTGCCACCTCAGAGAGATCAAGTAGTTTCAAGTCCGGCCCTGTTAATTCGACACCGTCGCGCCCGGACATTTTCCCCTCAACAAAACCCAATTAAATGTACAATTACAAGTCGGCCAATTTTACAAATCTGCTTTTGGTTCCCATCAATTATGAAGTGTGAGGTAAAGCCCTGGTGAGTGATTATCCCTGACAAACAAACAAACACACACACACACACACACACACACACACGCACACACACACACACACGCACACACGCACACACGCACACACACACACAACCCTTGTTATCTGCTAATTAATAAACTAGCAGGCTTAAGAATTTCAACATGTATTTTCTGTTTGCCACAACATTGGCGCTCGATGTTTGCTCTGAGTTCTTCTGGAGCAAAATAGGCAGAGAAATCCTGACTTTTAGTAAACCACCACCTCTCATTATTTCATAGTAACTACGGGGGACAGATTCTGACTCATTAGGACTCTCATCAGCCCTCTCCACCAACCATCACTACACAGGTTTGTTTGTCTGATCACAGACATTGCTGTCTGTACTCAGCGAGAGCACAATTTTTAAATCAATAAAATATATACATTGTGTGTGAAATTATTGATTTCTTTAGTAAGTGGCCGTGTAATAAGCGTGACAATAAAGCGTTATAAAACTATGCTAAAAAGACACGTTCAAGTGCATCAGTAGAGACGGGGAAAAATGGCGTACCTGCAACAAATGGCTTCAGAAGTCAGCTCAAGAGTTAAGATTAGGACGTGTCGGAGCTCCCTACTGTCACATGACCCTCCCAATAAACAAATATTCCATCTGCTGGAAGCATCGTCATCCATGGATTGATTTTGCAGAGCTTTTATGTGCATGACTTATTATGTAACCTGAAGTTACAAGGTTATTTTGCCAAGGTAATCAGCATTTTCTACGGTAATTCACTGGAGACGCGAGGCTCAACACAAGCAATGAAATATGCTCAAGCATCCACAACACAATAAGCATGGTGAGAGCGATTGCCCCTTCATTCTGGACAAATCAAAGATGCTCTGAGTGCTGCTGATTAGTGGAGACCGCATCAATCCATCCTGCTCAGCCTAGTCTGTCGTTTCACTGGAGGTTCTGCTGAGTCATGGTTAAGCTGCCAGAAAAGGAAAGGAACACATAACGGGCAACTGCAACATGCATGCAGACAAAAGACGTCAAGAGCACATGTCGTGTGAGACAGAAAGCATGAAATGCGCAACAGCAAAGCAACCAAGCTGATGGGAAACGGGGATGTACAGATGTATGGTGGGATATTCTATTAAGACACCAAGTCAACATTTTTAGTACGTCTTTTTAAAATTAAGTCATTGTGACGCAGAGAAACACTTATATACAGTGTTTTAACGGTCGCAGGACAATTTATAATGGACGTGTTAGTTGTAAACATCTGCACAAAGAACACAAAGTTGTATTTACTTTCTAACTTCTCACATTTTCAGACTAAAATAACGGTGTTGCGAGTGGTTTTTAATAATTAAACGTTTAAGATGAGTCATGGGTTGTACGCTCATTAAAGCTGCAAGATTCAAGCAGGAAGTGGACATCCGTGATCCGTGTACGAATTATGGAGTTGAAGCTGGATGGAGGGATAGTAATGAGCTTTTCACTATTCACAATTAGAATGGGTACACAAGCTCAGCTGAGCATTTGTCAAAGAGACACGGGGAGGAAAAATGAATTGATGAGGATCGAGAAAAAGTGCAAGGGAGAATCCAAAAAGGTCGCCCTATGAATAATGAATGCTGCTTTTACAGTATATCCTCCTCACTTGCCACAGATATCCCTGTTTTGCCATCCTCTCAGCATCCCTCCCTCTGCTGTGCCGTTTCAGTCCACGCCTGCCATCTTAAGTCCCATCAGGGTGAAAGAACAAAGAGGATGCAGCGATCCAGGGCTAACGCAGACCCGTCACACTCCTCGCCATGTGAGGGGTCAACAACTATGACACAACTTTGCACAGAGCGACACAATGATATGCTTACTTCAGACAGATGTTCCTACCCGTGTATCTGCTAGAAATGGGCCTTTAATTCTCTCCTATGCAGACTATCACTACAGATAAGTCTATAATGAGCAGAACCAGGACTGATCCAACCGAAACCGGACAACACGCTGCATGAGAGCTGAGCGAGCCGTTCCTCACATCCTGGTTGTCCACCAGCACTGTAAATATATTGAGGGCTTATGATGAATGGACAGAAATCCACCTCGACATGTGTGCTACATTTTTTTATTTATTGTTTGCTCACAGCGGTGCAACATAAAAGCAAAGCCTTATATATTTCCTGAATGCGTGGGGAAACAAGAGATTAAACAAATGGGCATGCTGTGACAAACATGCAGAATTAATTCTTCTCAAATTAGAACGTTTTGGATTGTATGAATTGTGAGTAATAACGCATCAAATAAGCTCTAAGTTGCAGTAAAGGGCTAATGCTCTGTGATCAGGATTTACAGTCTTTTAAGCACCAAATTATTTGAAAAAAAAAAGTCTGTGTGTGAGTGTGTGTCCGGTTTCAGGTCGGTCATCAGCTGCTTCTGCTCAACAGCAAGAGTCATCCCATTCACCATCTGCTTGTGCAACCCCCCTCCACCCCACCAGGGGTGCTACAGCCACTACGAGGACTCACCAAGATCCTTAGAGCCTTGACTTTCGCTGGCCATCTCGCCCATCCGCACCAGAGCGTCGAAGTAGCCCTTTGCAGCATATGTGACACCTGGAAACATGGAAGCATTGGGCATCAGACCACGGGTGCAGAGTTGAAATCTTCTTCAGCTCTGCAACCCTCCCCTACAGCTCACCCACCCCGCAGAGAGGTAAGGTTGGGCATGGGAAATAAGGAGCGACAGGCGGAAATGGAGACCAGGCAGAAGAAGAAAAAGCTCTATGGAGGCAACTACAGGAAACAGAGAGACAGCTATAGAGACTAATCAAGCACGCGTCTTCAGCACAAACTACTTTGGAGTAAACCCTTTTAAAAGGATTACCACATTTGAGAAAAAACATTTGAACCATATTGGTATCTAGCCATGCAAACTGTCTTCACATTGGGTGTTGGTAGCCGGTTCCACTCTAGAGCCGATTCCAGGTTGCTAAGCTCAGAGACCAATGACTCTCCCTCTTTATTACAAAGTGCAACACATCCAGGCAGCATGGTGTCACTAGATCACATTAAATCTGTGAATAACCTCCCTAAAGACCACCGTCTATTTCAAATGTTCTCTGTAGCAAAATAAGGAGGCACCACTCTGCAAGCAGACCCAAAACACAACCCTGCCTTAAAACGAGGCTGCGCTGGTGTGGGGAAGTTATTCCAAAAACAAGTTAGCGATAATAAGATTCATAGTTCTGAATACAGAAAAACTGCTAAACCTAGATACTGTAGTTGTGATATGGAACATTGTGGGACTCAATACTGGGACTGATGAGATTTGATAAAATGCAATCAAACTGCAACCATAGCAAATGCCCTGGAGGTGAAGAGAGTTTAATTTGTGCTTTCTGAAGCATTCAAAACGACATTTCAGCAGATAAATCAAAAACTATCTACGTGGCTAGATACCACTATGGCTGTGCAGAAATGTGGATGAAGTGAATCTTTAAAATCCCTAACAGCACTATCTTAACTTCTCCCTACAAGGATGAGGGTTTTATTTGGATCCCCATTAGCTGATGCAGAACATCAGCGACTCTTACTTGAAAGAATGCTGACAAACAACGTTCTACAGCAATGATGTCGAAGCACTTTTCATTTCAAAGATGCATCAAGCAGCTATGATTCTCTGCGGTGCATTGTCACACAAGCCAGGGACACCGGCTGAGAGACATAACGGTGACTCAGGTCTTAAAGAACTGGGACAAGATGGCCTCAAGCAGCAGCGACGGTGAATTAAAGCAGGTCAGGGGTTAGCCACACAGCGACTGACAGAGCACACATGTCCAGTCGGGAGAGACATATGGATGAGGGCTGAGTTTATTACATGGCCCTCATGTTGATGGGTGTTTGTGCGAAGAACTGCCAGAGGACACTAATGCAGAATCCCCAAGAGAGGGGGAAAATGACAAAGTGTATATCCATATGGAAAACAACAGAAATCTATTCTGAGTTCATGTTCCAGCTGTTTTTGGTACGAGTCCACAGAGCTATGAGAGTTAATGCTGCTAGGTCTGAACATATACTTAAAATGTACTTCTGAAATAACTTGAACTGCTTTTACTTCTTTATCACAACCATGAACTGCGATAACACTCGGTAAATCTCTACACGGCGGTGCAACCCTCCCGGATAAACTATGAGAGAGGAGACAAGCCAAGACCCCTTTTCTGGCTTTTCCTAAGCCTGGCTTGAGTTAAACATAGGTGGGATATAAGAGCTTGAGAGAGGGGATAAGCTAGGCTAAGACGGCTGGGTGAGCACGGTTAATTTAATCGATGTCCGAAGAAATCTGAGCCGGGAGGGGAGCGGGGCCAGGTGAGGCGGGATTAGCTTTGCTTGTCTGTCAGTTAGAAAGTGACAACGAGGGAGAAAGGTGGGAGAAGAGAGGAGGAAGGAGATGGACGGTTCTGCCTGTGAAGAGGATTAGAACAGTGATATAAAGCCGATACAGAGCTGAGAGTGTCGGTGTAAATGAAACACAAACAAGAAGGAAGTCTAAATCAGCTGAGATTCACACTAAACTTCCACAATGTCCATCAAACCCCTCTCACATTCAGAGAGCACTGATTTGATGCTTTGCAGGTCAAAAGACAACTAGACACTTTAAAACTGAGATATACATTGTTTTTTAGATAAACTGTAGTTAACTACAGTTGGTGTGTAGTTCTCATCACACCGACATTAACAGAATAAATGACAGCAGGTTTAGACAGCAATACTGACAATCCATAAATCATTTAAATAAGCAAACATGTCCTGTTTCCAGCTTCTTTAATGTCGGGCTTTGTTGCTTTTCTCAATTTTATAACATTGTTAATTAAATATCTTTTTGTTTCTGTTTTGGACTTTACAAACAAACAAGCAAGCAACAAGACAAGCAACTTAACAGTTTCACATT